GCTGACGGTATAGGCGTACGGTAAGGCATGATGACAAACCTTATCGTTTCCGATTCCCCGTTTCTGACCATTGTTGGGTCAGAAAGCCGTCAGAATATTCGTTTTGCGGTGGTCAATACACCGGGTGCCCCTAACCTTTTCTTGTGAAGTCATGAAGAGATTCAGGAGATGATGATTTGCAGTGCAAATCAGAATGTGATTTGTGAGGTTGCTGAACACTGTCTAGGACAGAAACCGCTTTCACTCGTACAGGGCCCATTATAAGCTGCCTCGGCGACTTCTTTGACATCACAACGAATAACAAATGTGAAAATGCTGATCTCTGCCACAACCTTACTATGTACTAGAGGGTTGAGGCTGAAAAACGATAGAATGGCCGAAGAATGAAGCAGTCGGCGTCTTCTAGGGTGCGCCATGCATTTTACTTCAAATCGGAACAGCAGTGATACTGGGCGATTAGGCTCATGATGATCGAGGAGCCAGAAGATGAACACCTAGGTGTTATACCGTTTTGGATGAGTTTGACACCAATCCATCGACCAGGAAGGGATAGTAAGGTAGATCTGGGTGGTCTAGGCAGTGCTCTATGCGAAGCATGGTCGGTATTGGTTATTGGTGAAATTCGACTTACTGCTACATCACATCCACCTTCAAAAGGAGATACAACCGGAAAATGGTGGAGACAGATTTGTAAAGCGACAGAGGTTTCCAAATGTCTTACAAATTTTTCCTTTTGCATAATGTCATCAGGAAAAGGGGAAGAATGGGTAAAATTATGAAGACCAATCAAATGGCACGCGGAATATTATTGGAGCTCAAGTGAAGGAATATTCTATTGGAAAAAGCTGAACAATATGCGCTTCTTCTACCTTAGAACAATCTCCTTTTGCTTGGGCATTGGCTCGAAGACGCTGGAGAAACACGTTGACCGTGGCGAGGAGGTCGTCCAACTCCAGGCCTTCTCCAAAAGTGATTCCAAGGAATCACCATCTCGGTAAGGCTTTGCTCACTCTGGGAACCAAGATGCTTCAGACGAAAGCATCAAGCGGATTGGTACTGTGAACTGAGCCGTCATACATCATCATTTGCACTGACCGTACCGGCTTCGTGCAGAAACGGTCTTTTTATTTTTAATTAGTCGCCCTGGTTGGCACGGGTTTCTTTCTAGGTCCTGGTAGGTTTCGCAATTTCGTGAGCTCCCAATAAGCATTGGAAGAACCTTCCATGTACCCTAATACGACGAGATATGTCAATCGCTTGAACCCTTGACGGTGCCGCAGTAAGGCTGAAACGCGACGGGTAGCACATATTCATTAAATATAAATTTTTTATACTGTCTGGAAGAATTCGTGCATAGAATAAAAAACGGAATTAAGAAAAATTGATGAAGATAGCCTTTGACCGTCTAAAGTTTTTATGCCATATCTGTTTTCCCACAATAGTGCCTCACCGCTGTGACACAGCCAAGAGCGAAGAGAGTTCCATGCAGAATCTAGATACTGTTTATGACGATTCTAACTTCGGAGTTGATGATCAATGGGTGGTAGGTGGAGAAACAAGCTCGTCGCGCGGCAAGAAGGCAGAGTCAGCGGACGAGTCGCAGCGCGTGATGTGCGATGTAGGACGTACAATGGTACATTCTATTTAACTTGACGCGAAATCACTACAGTACGCGCTGCGACTCGTCCGCTGACTCTGCCTTCTTGCCGCGCGACGGGCCTCCTTCCAGGTACCCGGAATTTTCGTACCACGACCGCGTTAGCAAAATCTGTGTCGACGGCGATACCAGCGGAAGTAAAATCTGAGGGTGCTGGTGACATGCATGTGCTCTTAAGTTCGCAAATTTTCCATTCAAAATGATCATGCTGATGGTTATGCATGGTAAATTTTCAAGAGGAAAGTCTAGAGAAAGAAAAAATGATAAAATGATAGTGAGAAGAATGTGGAGAGCTAACGTATACAGAAGTAGCTGTAATAATTCAATTCTCAAGTGAAATGCATGCGTATAAACTGTCAGAAGATTACGGTAACCAGAACGCATCGCAATTTTACTCAATCAAAACCTTTGCAGAATACTTCAACTGAATTTTCGTGCACATATTCGTACAAATATTTTTTTTACATTTTCTAAAAGCGTTTGGTGAAAGATTGTTCACAATGTGATGCGCCTTGAAAGGACTTTTGGAAGTTCGGCAGCAGCGGTCGATTGAAGGAAATAGGCACGAGGTGGCGTCGAACGCAAAATGGCTGGCGCCCTTATCACCGACGGTCGCACTCGTCATCCAAAGCACAAAATTTCGAAGCTGCACATACGCAGAAAATCGTCACCACACCAGCTTGTGATAACACACACGTTTCTAGTGACCCTTGCTTCTTCCTCTGACTGAGCTTGCCTTCCGAAGAACTTCCTAAGCAAGTCATTACTTATGCATTTGTTTATTTGCTTATTTATTTATTTACTTATTTATTTGGTGCACTCATGGGTATGCTATGCATAATCAAATCAACTCGAAAAAACTACACGTTTGTAGAATAAACTAACCCGCAAGGTAGCTAACTCTGATAAAATGATAATTCATCAGCAAGACTGAAAGAAAAATTGTCGACAATATATTTAGCAGGGAAGAGGAAGAAGGGGGATGGTGGTGGTAGCGGTTCCGTAGTCCTACTTGAAATCTTATGCCAACAGAAATTCGCTCAGTATTCAAGACTTGGTGGACAGTATTCAGCCCCTTCGAGCTTTAAAGGAGGATCTCACGATAGGGTCGAAAGTCGGAGAGGATGAATAGAGGTAAGCAAACCAGCCCTCTTGGCGCTTCTGCTGGGGTCGTATGCTGAATGTTGGGGAGGAGATGGGGTCCCCGAGCTCGACGGACTACTTGAACTCGGTCGGTACGGTAGGAGAGTGATGACGAAGTGGTGCAGCTAGGTCCAGCAGCTCCGCCAAAGGGCTGGTTTGCTTACCCCAGGACTAAGCCTTGGAGAGAGGACGGACCTGCGCTCTCTCGCAGGTCCGTCCTCTCTTTAAGGCTTAGTCCTGAGGTAAGCATCAAATTGAGGCGGTTTAAGGACCGAGTTGAAGTAGTCCGTCGACCGTCGGGGACCCCAACATTCAGCATACGGCCCCAGCAGAAACGCCAAACGGGCTGGTTTGCTTACTTTGGATTAATATACCTAGTAGGAAAACTGGCGGACTCCCTAAGCGTGAGGACCAACACCCGATTTCCTAAGAGGGATATACTCCCGCTACGGTATCGGCGCGGCACGTCCATCGACTGGCTAACCACTCGCTGCAGGTCTCTAGCCTTTCATCAGAGAGAGAGAGAGAGAGAGCGTTAGCGTTGAAGAGGGCAGCACCGATGAGAGTCGCATCAATGCGGAATCAACGGGCAAGGAAGGGGTCCCATTTCTCGGGTTCTGGGCCGTTTCTCATGTTTTTTTTCGTCCCGCACCACTGACCATCTCTACATTGATTCAAAGGGATGCCTTCCAGTCGTAATCTCCGCTTTTCATGCTACCGAGATTCCTTTCATATCCAAGGAGTATACTTTCTTTGTCGCCGGAAACGAATGACACGTTGACATAAATGATTCATTAATGTCATTTAAAGACGTACTTACAAAGTTATTTATATATGTTAAACCTAAATAGAATGAACAAAATCATAATTTCGATGCAACTTTAATCTTATTCAAAAGCAGATCTAGTATTCGGAAATCTTCGGCGGTGAGATTATGCATACTGATGAGGGAGTCGCTGACCATTGACAAAGCCTGAAATGTAACCATTTACTTTACTCGTAGTGGGAGACAATTACAATTTCTGAAACCCGATCAAATTAATTTTTATTGGTAAGAAGGGGTATTTTCGTTGCAGCATCGCTGCTGAGACGTAATTAATTTGTTGGGGCAGAATCGCTGCTGAAGACGCTGCATGATATTTTTTATTTTTAGAGCGCAGATTTAGAGCTAGCTTTGATCAGCTGTACCAACGCAACGGAATCTTGATAGGGCTAATATCCTTCTGGGTCGCCTCATTGGGTCTTGATAGGGCTAATATCCTTCTGGGTCGCCTCATTGGAACGAGAGAATGAACAGGCGTAACGAGGAAACTCAGCTCCTTCTGGGACTCGTCGCGCTGATATAGCTTCATTTTGAGAGCTCAACACTCATGTCAGTTCATTGCGTGCACGTCCGCGCTTGATGAGCACACGTTTCTATCCCAAAAAAGGAAGCGCAATAGCCAGACATCCTATTATTGATTCGATGATAAGATCAAGGGCATGCTAGGTGATTCCCCGCAAACTGATCGAAATTGACGTCATACAGAGTAGGCATAACCCTTGTCTTGAGCTTTGATCTTGACCGCGCTCCTCCCGTTGATCAAACTGATTAGATTCGCAGTGGGAGGTTTTTCGTCCGATACGGTTCATTCACTCATCCACAAAATCAAGGCTCACGCCTTCAACATGCGCTCTTCCCGGTAATCACGTACGGGGCGGAGACATATAGCAGCCCATCTTCGAAGAGGAGTTGCTCACAGTCTCACAACGAGCCATGGAGGAAGCCATGTGCCGTGTACCGCTCTAGACCGACACCCTATGATGGCATTCCGTCCGCTCTGTACGTATGTTAAGGGCTTGGAAAGCCAGCTCCAATTCTACGCGGTGATTACTGGTCTGGGGTGACTCCGACATGACTCGTTACTGACGTAGCAGCTGCAAAGGGAAAAATTAAGGCTCACACTCGGGCCATCCCCAAGTAATGGCTCCGCGCTCTCGTTAAAGTTGTAAGGGCAACTGTGTCGCAGAAAAGGCCGAAGCAGAGCGGCGTGGTAAATGTGCGACTTGCATTTCTGGCGTGCCCGGGACGGAAAGCGGTCGAGAAGTAGGCGAAGCGAACGAAGTAAACAGTTCATTCTGCTAAGTATTACATCTCAGTGAAGGTTGGAGGTCGGGAATGTCGTGATCGTTGATACGAACGGTGGAGCAGAAGGTATTTATCGGCTACATAGGCTAAGGATGAGCCCCAGGCCTTCGAACGTGTCGGTGCCGCCCCTGCTGTCGCGTCGCCCAATCAGGGTCGCCCTATCGTTGGTTACTTTTCTGAAAAATTTTTACGACCCCCCTCCCCCAAGGTGGATTTGATACGACCCCCTTTTCCACACCTCGACCACCACCTCTCATTCTGATACCACTCCATCAGAACCCCGCCCACTTTTTCCTCCAAAAATGCCGTCGAGCGGGGGGGGGGGTATATGCTACTCTGACTCTGATGACTCTGAAACAATAAAAATTCACCTAAATTCCCTAAATTTCCACCATTTTACTCTTACTTTTACCCGCTTTTTTTACGCACTGAAAACGGCGAATTTTTCTCCCGCGCGCTCCCAACTCCCAACCTATACGACCCCCCTCCTACAAACTCAACCAGGTACGACCCCCGTTGTTACTAGTAACAACATAGGGTTGAACCTGTCTGCTCACATGAGTCAGCTGGGCAGGTTACGCGAGGAGTCCTCCTTGCAAGTACGCCCCCGGCGACGCCTTGTGCGCTGGACTCGCCTGGAAGGATAAATCCGCTTACTTTCACATCGGTTGACCCATGCAAGCAATTGCTTGGTCAAAATTCATTTGGTTAGTGACAGTAGATTGCGTGGTTCTTGACTAAAAGGGATTGGACTCCGTTATTGATTTCAAGCTATCCTTTTTATCTGCAACCCTTCGCATAAGTCGCTTCTTAGTTCCGTTACATTTGATTTCCTCTAAAAGTGCTGAGCTCCATCGTTGTAACCCTCAAGCGTGTAGGAAAGATCTTTCTTTTTGTACTTGGAAAAATGCCTTTGCATGACATGATACCTGCAATAAATAAATTTTACAATAATACTGCTACTGAGCATTTGGAAATTACCTGGAACGCTCATGAGCGTCTTCTCGAAGGTTGAGATGCACGATATCAGTCAAACAAGAACTCGGTCCACTGCTCAGAGTGCATCCATCCTGACCATTATGGATTTTATCCCAGAGGGAATTCATAGCTCCTCTGGAGGCTACCACTACGGAATGAATCTCTCGTGAGCTCTGCTGAAAACGTCACAAAGTCATGGAGATATCGCTTCACAAAAAGCTCGGAGACCATCGAAAGTGCAATAATTTTACTTAGACGTAATGATCTCAGCCTATGCACCACGAAGTGGCACGGATTGAAAGCACAAGCCAGGACGGATCTATGTGAATAAACCTTTTGGTCGATAGAATAGAGCTATACACCAAGGTCGCAGTTACGGTTTCCCGGCTCTAAAGTCCGCAACTAGCACTCTAGATGCGGAGACCGCTTCAACTGCTTCCATTTTCTCGTTCGCAACGTGCAGGTGTCCTGGCTCTTGCTTTTCCTCTCCTGTCTGTGATCAATCTCTCACATCCTCAGCACAAAAGTGAGCAAGCCCTAACTACTACGTTCTTGACGGATTCTTTTTTCTTTACTGTTGACCCTCTTCTCACAAATGCTTTCAATATCGCCTGCAACGCTTCTTCACCACTGCGAGGCCATGTTCGGCCACCTAATCTGCAGAAATCAGCAAGGGATCCGTTTCGCGGGATCTGGACAGTTTCTCGTGGTTTTTTCTTGGTCCCGGCGCCACAGACCACCTTGATTCTAATGGGCTCCCTTCTAATCGTGAACTCTGACTTTGAGTAATAATCTAGAAAACAACCTGCTCCATGCTTGTCGGCCCTATGACAGACATGTAGGGCTCGTCGGAATCAAATGCGGCGAGGTCCTGAAATGCAGATTATGATGGTGTCTGGGGATCGCAGATGGGAACGTACCTGCATCAAGTCGTCAACGAGCACGTATGTATCATCTGAGGTCATTATGTACCAGGAAAAATAGTGTGGCAAGTAACGTTCAGCGAACAATGCTTTTGAACTGAAATAAGAATAAAAAAACCATGAAACGAACATTCATACTCACAGCCTCACACAAACCTGAAATAGGACCAAAGCGACCCAGAACTGTATGGAAGAAAAATCTGCCTAGCGTCGCTGTTTCTTCGAGAGGTAAAAAGGATATGGCTCTGCACACGCTTCAACCAAGTCTCTTCGCAAAGGGCAGTCTGCAAATGAGTCAAAGTCAAACAAAACAAGCTAACTTAGGGCACATTCAGCGGCTGAATAGGTTCAGGTATTGCGCTGGAAAATGAAAGTAGTTGGTTCCTCAAGACGAAAGCATGGGGAAAAGGAACTCCTGAGAACCTCGAAGAATCACATTCCGCGCCAATCGCAGGGGCGGAGTTTGTGCTCGATCTCATGGCACTCTCATTGGTCGGCCTCAATTCCTCAGCGCATTTTACCGTACTTCACTACACCACACGAACGGCTGTGCGATTAAAGGCCCGCAGGAACACATTGTGTGGCTCTTGCACACGAATGTGAATGTATTTGGTGCGAAATGGGCCGGCAGTAAAGAAAAAAGGAAAAGAATCCGTCGAAAACGCTTAGGTTAAGGGCTCACTCACCTTCCTAATCGGCTGTGCTAAGGGAATGAGAGACTAAGCGCGGAGAGGAGAGTATGAGGCGAGAGAGCGCTACAGATGAGAGAGCGCCAGACAACAGCCTGATAAGAGCAGCTTACTTTGCAAGGCCCAAGCGCTCTTGTCGGTTGGTTTCCGTGCACGGAACGCCACATTTGTGATTGTCCTCTAGGGTCTATACTACAGACCGAAGGAAGCGTTCACACGACCTCTGCCTGGGTTGTGCCTTTAACACTTTGGAGACCGCGTGTGTTACGTTCTGCGGGCCGCGGACTTCGTGAGAATTTTTAGGATTCAGCTAGCTTCAAAAAAGACCCACTTCTTAAGTAGAAATATCGGATAAGTATGTAATAAAAAAGGAAATGAAGAAAAAACCTAATAATTGTTTCCGAAATGCGAGCTGAAAGGTGCTATGCAGTCGGAGGGCTGCGGCCCACATAAGGGCTGCGTGGGCTCCAAGGTGTTAAGCTCTCGAGAGGGCATCGCCCATATTTACACGCGCAAATATTTTTTCAGATACCCCCAGGGACCCGTCGCTCGGACAAGAAGGCAGAGTCTCGATCGATCAGCGCGTTTGACGCCAGACGTGCATGGACAAGCTACTATTTAACCGACAGAAATCCCATGAGCGCGCCGCGACTAGTCGCATGTATTTACTTTCGCCGACGGCCTCCTGGGTACCCCTTTTCAGGGTTCTGAGCAAAAAGCTGAGGCTTCTTCCCTTCATTCTGAACAAAATCCAAGACTCATATTAGACGTTCGAGTTTCAAGCGCAATAATTACATTCTTTTCAGCTACTGGATATTTGCGATTGGGATTTGGTCACCTAAGGGATCACTTAAAGAGACAACTCATCACCGTAGGGGACAAGGGATGTAAGGAAGAGATCCTGAAAAAAGCAGAAATTTTCGTTGTCAGTGAGGTCAAAGGTTTTCATCAGTAAATTTTACCGTGGAATGAGTGCTGGAGCGAGAAGAATCGACCGAAGAGTGTGGATGAGAACGAGGCCAAGAACAGCGCCAGATAACGGGCTAGGTTTCTGGCTACGCCACCTGCGCATCCAATGCGCATAAGGCTGGAACCTCGAAAAATTCTGTAACAGTTGCGATCTTGTGAAGCGATGGAGACCGAGTCCTCGAGGAAAGAAGGCAATTATAGCGTGTTGATGAGTCAGCGAATAATCAGAACTGCTGCGAATGGTTCGCTTTCCACGGGTGTTCGCTGATCCACTGAGAAGTACAAATTGAGGGGTATATGAAGGACAACTTTCGAAGAATTAATCACTGTTCTAAGTCTCCTCATTTTCTCATGCTTGAAACTTGTACTTCCCTTTTAAGTGAAAAAGCTCGGACAGGACCAGTACACCACAAGTGACGACGGCCTCCAAGTACTAAATCTGGTTAGCATGGTTTATAGTCTGTAGCTGATTTTTGTAAATGATAGTTGTAATTAGTGACAACTGATAGAATACAACTGCAACAGGCTAATCATTTCATTGGCAAAAACATTTACATTTTGTGGAGGCCGTCGTCACTTGTGGTGTATGGTCTGCACCCACGCTCTTCTGGCGATTTGAAAGGTTGGGTAAAAGAAAAACAAAAATGCCAGTCAAATAAAAGTTTTACCCTAGCAATGGCTAGCTGCCATGTTTTTTGATTGACCGTCAGAGTTTTGTAAAAATAGCCCCAGGAAGCCTCAAGAGTATTCGGTACGAAGTGAAGCTAATAAAAACATAAAAAAGATGAAACATTCATCTACAACAAATCTGTTATTAGAGCACCACCTCTTCATTTCAATGATGGCTATAATGGAATTTTTCAGACGAGAATGATACCGCTTAACAAATGCGGAGCAATATAAGGTTTGATTGGCCTGGGCAAGGCCTAGGCCGAGATTTGACCTGAGCACCGCGTTCGTAGGTAGAGGTGCTGCTCGCTTGTACTTGTTCCTCTCGGATAAAAGCGAAGAAGTTAACTGAACGACCTCTTTGTTTCATATGGCTGTAAAGGTCAGAAGAACAAGTGGATAATGTATGAACCTCCTATATACTTTAGTAAAGACGCTATGCTTCTAACCCATCTTCGAATTCTACTGGCAGTTGATTATGATTTGAATAAGCGCTGGATCTGTACAAGTGAGTGGGAAGCTATAGAAGCAAGCACAGCTTGAAGGCAGCGATTACGGAAAATTCGAGAAGGGCTTATTGTGACGTGGTGGTGCTCAATGGTACGCCAGTGGCGAAAAAAGCAGAAAAATCCGTCAAGAAAACGCAAAACCCCTTTTTTGGCCGTTGGTTTTCACTCATGAACAGGTAACAGCTCAGAAAGTGGAGTATGAACGAGTTCACCGCAACGCGTTTGATGGCACCATGCCAAATCACGCTTTAATCGAGATGCTCCATTTGCGCCGCTGCTGGCCACGCAGCTCGTCCAAATCAACAAGTAAACTAGTGGGCGGATCGCTTTTGGGGCGGAGCGCTTTCGAAGTCCTGCTCAGCAACCAGCGCACCTTTCGTCGTGAAAGCGCCACACTCGCTTCCTTGGCAGCCAAGTAACTGCTTCGTGTGGTGCATATGCTTCCCCGATGCGCTCCCTCTTTATCGTAATCGCTTCCTTTAAGTCAGTGTTTGTATGCGTTCAACCTCCATAAGGATTCCACACCAATCAACCAATCCCCTTATGAGTGGAAATTTCGCTTCGTTTGCAGGGATCCATACACCAGTTTGAACCCTCAGAGCA